TATTAAATCATGCTTTACTTGTCTGCTAAAGTGTTATGTTAATGGCTCAGCATTTTTCTGTGTACAGTTAAAGCTTGGAGACCGGGTTTTAAAACATGAGCCTTGAATTTCAAACTTGTTACTGAATTTTAAAAAGTTGCTGAGTGAAGACTTGAACCATGTTGTGTCTGTCCTTTGTACACAGATAATAGTTTTCATTGAGTATTCATATGTATAGTCTCGTGTAACATAGCCTGCAAAGAATGAAAACTGCTTGTTTGATATAAAATATCTCTTTCTGATTTACTACCTGTACAGTATGGCTGGCATTTGTAATCCTGCCTGCCAGTCTATAGACTTGGTTCATGCTGTAGCTAGTATGTATAAGAAAATGTTGAATGCCAACTATCCCTGTAAATATCCCTGATTTTTTTTTGTGTGTGTGCGTGTAAGCAGGTATAACATCAATAAACTTTAACTTATTAGAACTGAAAATATGCAACTTTAGGGAACTTTTAAGGTACCTTAAGCTTACATATGTAGCCAGAAAACTACTGCTTTTGAGAATTTTCCTTCTGTGAGTTACTAATGATTAATATGTGGCAGTACCTTCTCTTAAGGTGAGAACATTGTGAAAGGCGAAAGGGAGTCTATCAGAAACCTCCTCGAAATATTTGATGGTTTGTTAGAGTATCTTACAGAAGAAGTCAGTGAATCTTCTTCTCAGAATGGAGGTGAGTAGACAGATGTCCTAGTTTAAGGTATTATGTTCTGCTACTACTATATTATGGCCAGCTGGCTTTTTCTGTTTGTCTGCTATCAAGTTAGCTTGCTGAGGGCTTAGGTTCTCATGACCATAGTTCTTGGTGTTCATGGGTGGAATACAGCTCCTGTAAGAGGCAAAAACTGTTTCTTTGCTGTTCTCCTCACTAGCAGCTATAGGAAATTGTATTGATTGGAAGATGTAAGCTTTGTGAAACCTTGTTTTGGGGTCCTCAAGGTGTTTCCTATGTAGCAAAGATTTATTTGGTGGTTTTGCTGTGTTTATAACCTTGATGATGCAGAAGAGGAGGGACTGAAACTGATCACAGGACATTTCAGTGGCCAAACTGAGTATTTACATTCCTTATTTTCATAAACAATAATGATAAGATAGATGGTGTATTTTCCCCAAAACTTGTTAAAAGGCAAGAATTGGAGAGCATAATCTTTCTGCTTCATTCTTGTGGCAGAAGCCTACTCCAGACAATTCATCCTCTGTTAGTATGCTGCTTTTCAACTTGTAAGTCAAATGATTTATGGTTAGGATTCAGGGAGGGAAATGTTGACTTCATCTGGAACAACGAGCAAAGGACTTACTAGGAGACAAACAGGGGGATGACTTAAGCTTTCCTGCGAAGTGAGCCTTGGGAGCAGATCCATAGCAGGGGCTATTTTGACGAAAATGCTAAACAGGGCAAGAGAAGCTACTCAGCCCTTCAGAGGCATCATCGTTACTGCAGACTGCGTACTGGTCTTCTACCTTAAAGCTGATAAGAACTGTCATCGCTGGCTGTTGCACCCTGTGAGTAAAGGGGAGAGCACTTGGTGGCTGAGATGGTTGCCTCCTGTCCTGTTTTGCTGTGAAATGGCAGAAAGAGGCCAGTAGCTATTTTCAGTGGCTGTCCTTCTGCTTTTCCCTTCCCTCAGACTGCTAGTGCTATTTTCTAGTTATAAGTACAGGATTTAATTCTTTTGAGCAAGAAGAAAGGGGTTATATATAATTGAAACAATAGGGTATATGATAGTTGTATTGCTTCCCAAAACTTACCATCTCAGTTGCCCCCTGCCCTGGGGTGCATTACGTGTTGTCATTTTAGATACCATCATTATAATGTTTTATTAAACTGTTTTGATGATATTAGCAATAAAACCTGTTAGTTAATAGGTAGAAGTAGTCTTCCTGAAAATAATTGCCTCTTCGTTATTAACAGATGAGGCGAATGTGCTGTCTAATAATGAAATTCAAATTGCATCTCAAGAGCCGCTGGAAAGCAATGCTGGTCAACTTATGCAACCTTCAATATTCTCATCAGTTGAAGGGTAAGAACAATTCTGAATATTTGCATTGGCAGAGTGATTGACTATCTTTTTGTGTATCTGTAGAGAAACCAGTAGGTTTTTAACAGCATGCAAGGAGGAGACATACTGATTACATATGCCAAATGGAATGCAAGATAACTTTCTCCTTTAGTTGGGCAGCAAGAGGGCTAAAATTAGATCCAGAACTTTTCTGCTCTTGAAGAGCACTGATGGCATTTTGTTTCCCTTAAGTTTACTTTACATGTGGAATGAAACAAGTTGAAAACTTTGTCTCAGTTTTAAATGATTGTATTTTAGTTAAACTGCATTCGATTTATCTTCATGACTTCTACACTGGTTTGTTTTGTAGAAGCTGGTCTCCTATGTCCTGTGCTACAACAGCCAGCTGCCTGAAGGAGAGCTGCCACTCTTCTGCAGCTCCATCTTGTGGACTGAAGGGGCAAAGACTTTTAGAGTAAATACTTTACAGCTTTATGTTCCTCTTAGGTCCCAATCAGAATCCGTTGTTCCATCTTGTGATGTAGATGGATCGGAATCTACCAGTGAATTAATTAGACTGGGAGATACTGCTCATTCATTTTCCAAGAGAGAGGAAGGTGAGTTTGGGTGAAAAAAAATTTAAGACTACTCTCTAGTAACATTTCTAAGCTTTTTTGTTGTTTATTTTTTTTTAAAGTTATTTCTTTCAGACAAATACTTTGTTTTAAATTCTTATTTTAAAAAAAGAACAACCCACACCCCCCCAAAAAAACCCAACCCACAATAAGCAAACCTACCTGTAGTTGATCTTAAACCGCAGATTTCTTAAAGTATTTCAGACACTGTTTTTCATGATGCCTGAGCTACATTATTTGAAGAAAGGTTTGTTGTTTGACTTCTAATTCAGTTTGTCCTACAAAAGCTTTTTATTTTGCTCAATGGAATGAGATTTCTGAAGCCTTTAATTTATTTAATTTATTGCAGTGTAAAAGGTAGTACTTAAGACTGTAAAAAGATTAGTAAGTTCATTCTTAAAGAAGACTTGTTAGGAGGACGTAGAACTTAAAAACATTATGGGTGGCTCTGGAACATATAATGTGCAGACTGGAGTCCATTCCTATTTCTTATTTTCCTGTAAGAATATTCCTATTCTTATTGGTGATGAAGCTCTTCAAGTAGGGGCATAAAGAAGTATTATGAATTATGAAATTTTTATTGAATAGAATTACAAGTAGGAATTTAACAGACCTATTTTGATCATAGTATGGGTTGCCAACACAAAATTATTAACATACCAAACCTGAAAATTGTCCATCTAAACAGTTCATAGCAAGATGCTTTATAGTTTTTAATTTCATCTTTTTTTAAACACCACTTGTAGAATTCCAGGTGCCTGAATTGTTACCAGCAGAAAAGGACAAGGGGGTGGAAGAATCTAAAAACACAGAGGCTATTGCAACATTACCTAGATGGTTCTCTGAAACTGAAAGGGCTGTTGTAAAGGAAAAAGAAGATGGTGAGTAATCATTCTTTTGCTATCTGATAATCTACCTGACTTTGACGAACGGGTGTAAGGTACTAAGGTAGTGTAGAGGAGCACCTTAGTCATGGATAGAACCACTTCAGCTATATTTTGAAATAAATCCTTTTCAGAAATTTAATGTTTTAGTGCCCCAGACTATGCAAACTCCATTATCCGGGGTATTTCTTCTTAGCTAGGATTCAGCTTCAGCCAGGTTTCTTTCCTTTTGTTGTTCAAAAAGCAAAATACTAAAAGTAAAAATTCCTTGTGAAAGATCCTAGCATCCAAAATCATGTTCACAAGGGGGCTTTCATGCTGTTCTTAAGGACAGTTGTGGATAGATTGTGTGTTGGGTGAATCATTCTGACAGGCGGCAGCCGTCTTCTCCAGTTGTCCCTGGCCTCTGACTATGGCTCTGTCATTGCTTAGAACTCCGGCACGTGAGCAGGCATTCCCCCGCATGTATCTCAAATGGCTGTGGGGAAAATAACAGCAAATCAAAAGCTGTTTACTGTGTATGCACAGAGCTACACCCATGCAGTATGAGAGCAGTATATCATATACATATGTATACATACATATATACAGTCATGAAAAAATTGGCGCTCTTAGAAAAGTAGTGAGACAGGGAGGGGCTGCAGTATGGATCTCTCTAAACAGAAGAAAAATAACATCGTAAGGCATAAAAATGTTACAGTACTGTTCTATGCAATCCAACACAGACGGTAGCTAACATTAGATATTTAGATATTCCATCTAATATGTATGGAGAACACACAAACCTAACATTCTGCTTTCACAGATAACACTTAAACTTCTTCATATTTGTCTCTTAAGGATCAATGGAGTCCATTCATATGACTGAACCTCAAAAAGAGAGTTTGTGTGCCAGTGCTACAAAACTTGGGGAGCCTATACAGCAAGCTATTCCTTTGCTACCACCATTTCAGCCTGCGGAAGGCAGACCTCGTTATCCTGGATGGAGAGACTATCAGAGCTCAGACAGCCAGTCAGCAACTTTGGCTAACAGTGAAGGAGTGAAAATTCCTACTGTAAGTAAATAAAAAACCTTTTTTTTTTTTACTAATCAGTAGTGCTTTCATTTTAAAACCTTCTAGTATACTTACAGAATGGGAGTAGTTGGTGTCTGAAGACCACTTCTGAATGTGCCAGATTTTATCTTCTGTTCAAAGAATTTTAGATCGGGTATTCATTCTTCACTGAGTGTCCAGAGAGAAAGTTAATTTGAAGGATGTGTTTATTTTATACACATAAACACACACATCTCCATCATCAATGTAACTGCACAGCTTACAGTATAGTAAACAAAAGAATTATAGTGTATTTTTATTTATCTATAAAATCAGCATTGATTTCCATATGCAGACAAACCTAATGGATGACCTTCCTGTCAACACTGTCCTGTGAATTTATAGAAAACATGTTGCTTTTTATTTCAGCTTGAGGAGTCACTTACACAAAAATCTGAAGAGGTTTCTGGTAGTCTTCCTCTATCAAGGAAGATCCCTGGTGAGAGCGAATTTTGCTTCCTACAGGGTAACTCTTAAGCGTCAAATGTTGCATTTATTTTTATTGGCACTACAAGAAATATGGTTTTGAAACTACTAGTGCATTTTTTTTAATTCAGCCACAAGTTCATATTTCTATCTCTGTTTTACAGAGAAACAAAAATAGGTTACTTTTAAGCTGTTCACTATGCCAGAGAAATATAATCTGTGTCCCCAGTTCAACTCCTTTCTTAGTTAATCCAGTTAAGATGTACCTATACTACAGAAATCTCTTCTAGCAGATAACTCCCATGGCTGAGCTTGTTCTGAGCAGAGAAACATGGACCAAACAGGCCAGTTCCAACTCCAGGAAAAAGCCCATTAACTGCTATTGTAGAAAAGGTTTAGAAGCTAGTTTTCAGTACTTACTTTCTCTGTTGCCTGGGAAACACTGCTTACCTTTCTAGTTTCCATAGCATCCCCATGACACTGAACATTCAAAACTTGAGCAATTACCAAAATAAATGTCACAACTGTGTAACCACAGTTGCTTTGTCATTCTGTTCTCTTGAAATGATTTGGTTCCCAAGGCCATGGATCACATCTTTTTTTACTTGTTCCCCACATTAGCAGGCACAGTGCAGCCTATAGCATCAACTAACACTTATCTGTCATCTGCTTCTGCAGTGGGAGACCAGGTGGTATCGAATGATGCTGAAGACCATGTTGCAAAGGTTAGATGTTGCATCTTCACTGTATTTGTGGAAGCTCAGTCAATATTTTTGGATTTCTGCTTAATTCTCCTGATACCTTGTGACACTTCTGGGCTTTTTTCAAACCTGTTTTTGGCTTGCTTTCTTCAGTACACAATCAGTGATGCAATGTTGTTAGACTATGACTATGTACACTTTATAAGTCACATCAGCTCTTTCTGGAGGTTTTTGCTCCAAGAAGTGTAAGCGCCAGTACCTATAGAGTTCCAATTTATCACAACCAACCACTTACTAGTTATCTGGGTTTTAATCAAAGGTGTATAAAACACAACAGTACAGTCATATCCTTTCTCCAAAGTGTATCAGTATTCTAAACTAATAAGAATGTTGGTATTCTGGCGTTGTTCAGACTCCAATAAAATTCAGATTTTGCTCTCTTCCTAAAGATCACTGAGCTGCCTGGCTATATTCTTTCATTTTATTTCCTTGCATTGTCCTTTGCTTTTCAAAAACTGAATAATGCAAAACCCACAAATTGCAGCAGATGCCATTCTATGCTTGTGGAAACATGTCTGTATAGGAAGTTCCTTGCTCCGGAAAACACTTTTTTTTTTTTCCTTCTGCAACCACAAGAGGTACTCACAGACTTCATTTGTTTCAATAGTTTCAACAGCCTTTACTTCTACATTGTCAGTTTAAAACATTGTCTCTGTTTACAACTCATTTTCCATTGGTGTATTTGCAAGTATATGCATGCCAACCCTGAATTACTCCAGTTCTAACAGATAAGTGACCAGGCAGTACTAAACCAGTGTAACTAAATGGCAGAAGGACAGAAGTGTTTTCTTTTTGTTTGCTGTGAATTGCAGCTTAGTCTATCCTCAGTGAGGTTCCGCTTACTGCCATTACTTGGCATTAGTCCCAGGCTATGGGGTAATATATAGGGATACTCATAGACTTAACCTAGACCTTGTTCTTCTGATTCAGTGGTTTAGCTGTAGATGATTCTTGAACTGATCTTCTATATTTCTGCTAGTCTGTTCCTTTAAACATCTAATTCTCTAAAGCACACCAACTTCAGTCAGGTACCAAGACATATAACTACTTGTATATAATAATAAAAAATATGTAATCATGGGGTTTGAGATGGTTCTCCTACCAAAGCTGCTGTAGGATCTTTCTACTCACATGATCTGTGGTATTTCTGAGCTTTACTGTGAAGATCTTAATAAAATCTTAATCTACTTTTACTCATTTTCCTAGGTTCCCTGGGTATATGGGACTTCATCTGCTTCCTCTTTGCATCAAAAACTGTCACTACAGGCTGAACAAGTAACACAAACTCCAAGACCTGAATCTAGATATCTGCCTAGAAAGAAAAGGCAAGTTCAGCTTTTTGGTACTGAGCCAAGCTAGCGCTTTCATATACATGGCCACCCAGCCCCCTGCCCCCCCCAATAAGATCTCTTCCTCCTTGGCTGCATGACAGTGAAAGACTAATTTTAACAGAAAGATTTCCTGTTTCTCCTGACATATGCGTTTCCTTAAATACAGTTATAGGCATTTCCACATTCAGTTTCTACTTAATCCTATATAAATGTGCTCACGCAAAAAGTGAACTGGAATTGTACGAGGTAATGCTTATCTTCAAGTTTTTAGAATAGAAATGAAATCTGTCTGTTTTCTGTTTTAGCAGATACGAAAATTCTACCACAGATTCACTTGAAGAGTCTCTTTCCTACAGAACAACAAAGGAAAAGCTATCTGAGCAAGAGCTTCATAAAGTGTCAGAAAAACTCTCTCATGGGTTAAATGAACTAGATTTAGTAAGTGAAATCTATTCTTTGTTTTATCTGAGCAAGCTAGCCTTAGTAATGATAGTGAACCAGAATATAAATTTAATATTGATGAAAGGAGATTTGCAACTAACACCTGACTTTAGAAAGTTCTAAATTTTGAATGAACTACTGAACCTGACCCACCCCCCACCCCTATCCAACAGATGTTAAAGAGAGCTTTGGGCGGGCACACTAGAGAAGAAGAGTTGACAGATGAAGACAACCTGTCTCAGCACAGTGACAGCGTCATGGATTATCGTCGAAGGAAAGCTGAACGAGGTAACAATTCTTTACCACTTAAGTATTAGGATGGAAAGAAACATAAAGAAAAAAAAACTTCTCGTGTAAAGCCCATACACTGAACTACTGGGTAGTTAGTTACTAGGTTTCGTATTATTAGTTCACTTGTATTTTGTCTTAGATACAAACCTGAGCAACAGTAACAATTACAATTAAGTTCACTTAAATAGCTACGGTGAAACTTCACTAAAAACACAAGGCAACCACAGCTACAGTAAAAAATGTACAGAAGGTGGGGGGAGGGACAGCATACAAGCTCATTGATAGGACTGATTCTAAAATGAGGGCCAGGTCACAATACACTTGACTGCAAATTCTTCTGTGCCAAACACAGCATGTACATCTGGGTATCTTACAAACACAGTGTGCAGTGTGTGTGTTGGTGGCAACATGATTAAATAACCCCCCTATACGTACACCCGACTAAAACTATCATATAGCTTGATCTAATCCACATGCACAACATCATATTGCAAGATGGAGCTGTTTGTGACCCTGGCATACAGACAGTCTCTCACCTTGAGCTGCCTTCATTTGTCTTTGCTGCTTTTTCCTTTCCTATCTCGAATACCTTCTGGCACCTTTGCTAATATATAAACCCCAAAAATTGTGATTTGGGGCAGGGATAATTCTAAAGGTAAAGGCTTTAGCTTTTTATGACTTCAGAGTCAAAACATTTAGCACAAATTATGCCATATGAGTTTTGGGGGGCTTTTTTCCCTTATGTTTGCCTGGAGGGGTTTTTTTGTTTTGTTTTGGTTTTTTTTGTTTCAGGTTAGATACTCAATGAATCCCCTTTCCTTACAGACACACATCTAAGGTACCCAAGCAGGCCACGATCCCTTTCTCCATCCTCACCCTCATCTCAGCATCAACTCTTTTCCGAGTTGGACGATAAACTTTGTAGTAATGAAACAGGACAAATAAGGAAAATACACAGACAGCTGCAAAAAGAAAGGGATGAAAGAAGAAAAAAAGCAAAGGTAACCTCTAGGTTAGACCTATTGGTTGTTCTTACCAAGAGTTATACTAAAAGCATGAAAACTGGATGCTCTTACTTAATGGGGGCATCTGGTCTACGTTAGTAACTTTGTACTGTTGTATCTGTAGACTGCTGAGGAAAAGACAACCTCCAAATTTTGCAAAAAAGAGAGTTTAAAGTGGAAGAAGCTGCTCTGACCCATATACTGGACAAGTTAATGAGGTGGTCATATGGACTGATTATTTTCTCTGAAAAGTGCTCTTATTTTTATTTTCTAGATGGTTGCTAAAGCTTATGAAGATGAACTAAGAATTTATGAAGCTAGGGAGAGGCTTAGACTTTCCAAGCTCAGAGAAGTCATGAAGGAAATGGTATGTGATGCACTATGGTGATTGTTGGTTGGGTTTTGTTTGGTTTTTTTTAAATTTGTCTAGGTGATCTGTCCAGACACTGGATATGTCTTTTAGGTACAAAAACTCCTTGACTTTCAGCATCATAGTTACAGCACTGTATGCTACTAAAGTAGTAAACAGAAGGACAGATTTTCCTGAGATAGACAGAACCAAGGGACAAGTACTTTTAGAAGTTTCAGCACTTGTATGTATTAAGAATAATACCTGGTTCTTATGGGTAACCTAACTACTGTGCTTTTCACATGAGTGGTAACTTCAAGACACTCGGATTTAAAGAATTAAAGCTAATGAGCAAGTAGATAGCTTCTATAGACTGGCCTAAACTTCTCCACAGATGGGCACTACTTCATGCACACATCCCCAACAACTAGGTTAATAAGGTTGGAGCCCCTGTATGCTGTAGGCAATCTGCTTAATATTGTCATAGTCTTTTTTTAACTACTCTAGAAGTTGGGTTTGTGCGAGGATGGTTCTCTAATGTTATGAATACAGCAAAGGGGTTTTTGCTACTTCCTTACATACTACTGGAACCGCAAAGAACCTAAGCTGACAAGCTCTGTCATAACAATGTAGGCTGCACTGGCCCTTTTCACCACCTTTGCAGAAGCAGTCCATAGGCTCCTGCAGTAGTGTAAGTGCTGCAAAAGAGCTGATGTTATACAATAGGGAGATCTAACCTTTATTTGAACCCTGACCTGCATTTGGTAAATTCTGGCATTCTGGAGAATCCAGTTCAGTATGTCCAAATTCTTGTTCTAAGGTTTCAGACATTTAAGTTTTGATATCCAAACTATGCGATCTATCAGTCTTTCTCTTCTCATACCTGTTCTCCATCTGTTTTACATCTGCTCCTAAGGAACAAGAATACAAAGAAAACATCTTTAAAGAACCTCCAAAAATGCCTCAGCCAGTGAAAGTTTATTCTAGAAAAACCACACCTCGGAATCCCAAATACAGCCAGTGGATTCCAAAACGAGGGACTGTGAAGCCAAAGAAAGCAGCTCCAAGTAAGAACTGCAAAACTATACTTGGTGGAAAACTGGCATCTTTTGAAAGCATGTGTTCAACTCCAAGAATAAAGGCATCAGTCCAACATATACCAGTCAGCTGTAGCATTTTCCCCTTCTTATGACCTCTATATGTCTGGATTTTTGTTAGGGAAGATAATGCTTTAAGTAAATGTAGATCACCAATGCACAATCAAAACTGTGACCCATTTGCTACCTCCTTTAAAATCCCTTGGATTATTTTCAAGGCTTGTTTCCATTACTGCTACTCCTATGCTTGCTCCACTATAGTCTGAGCTCAGTCTTTGGTTTTTTGTCTTTTTTTTTTTTTTTGTCCTTTTTTTCCTGAGCATGTATCAGATTTAAAATTGGGCCTCTCACTTGAGTGGGCTGGTGCTGAGCCATGCACAGGTAATACAGCAGTCTCTCAATTGCTATCATCTGCCTTTCAAGACCCTGCCGTGGTTGTATTACCACTGCCACTGGTTTTGCTGAGCAAGTGATGCTCCAAGAACAGCCAGCGTGCAAATCACAGGCTCAGTTGTGGTAAACAGCATTGCGCATGCTTATGTATAAGGTCATGGTATAATCTCCTGCATATCTGAATGTTTCTTAGATACACTGCCTTTTTTTTTTTTCTTCAGTGTTTAAAGGGCATATACTTGCTTAATACCCATTTGTTTCATCTCCCCATCATCTTTTCCTGCCAGAAAGATCAAAAATGTAATGGGAATGAGCTGGTTGCAAACCAGTTTATGTTCCACCTGTTTACTTCACCTGGATCTGTCACTACTACTGCTGTATTAGCACTATTTTAAGTTGCTGCAGCCAGAGAGAGACAGACAGATAAAGAAATCACTGATTAGTGATGGTCAGAACCATTTGAAGAAAGAAGGGGATACCTGTCTTAATTGGATGTGGTGGTGGAAAGGGAGATAACACCTGAGCTGTAAAAGCAATTCTTTTTAAAAAAAAACCAAACCCACACCAATAAAAACTTGGGATTACTTTCTCTGCTGTGGTACTGGGAGAGTGATGTTATGTCCTGCTGGGTTTAGCTTGACATCATAACAAAAGCATGGTAGCTGTATATAGTGTTTAATCTAAAATATTTCATAACCTAGGCTGACACTGTCTGGAAGAATTTACCACTAAATGTATTCTCCAGGAATTTATTGCTTACATCTGTCTTTACCTTGTAGTGAAAGTAAGAGATGATGACCTCCTATGTCAGCTACTGGAAGAGTTTCCCCACCTGCATATTTCCCACCATGCTATGAATAAAATGTGGCAGCAGCAGCTTGCACATACTGAACAACTTAAGGCAGCTTCTGGCAGAACCAGATCAAAACTCCAAAATGAAGTGAGCGTTCTTATTCTTACCTTCTAAGTCTTAGCAGGCACAGTACCTCTGACAGAACAGTTAGCACTCATCAGTTTGTACTGCATAATAAAATCATCCTGGCTCTTTGTATGCAGCGTAGATAGGGTACACGCACACCCAAAGCACAATACGAAAGGATGTCTATCTGAGCTTGGTTAGTTAAAACAGGGATGTACACATCTAGGCATGCAGGCTCAACTTTTTATCAGCCACTTGAATATAATGTTCATTTTTTTATACTAGTTTATCTAATACTGCCTAGGATTGCTATTGCTTTTTAAAAAGCATTTTGTAGTCTTGAGTACTAGTTCTCAACAGGTTCTTTTTTAGTTTAAAAGTTAGTTATGAGATACAAAAGTTGATTAACTTATGCATGGTAACTCTAAACATAAAAAACCAAAGCATAGCAGAGGGGCAATGTTTAAAACTCCTATGCGCAACTGCCTGCCCTGCAGAATGATGGAAGTAATTAGTTTTTTTTTTTTTAAACCTCCAGGTTCAGCAAGCCCTGAAGAAGCATGAACTTCTTGTTGCAATTATTAAAAAAGATCAAGACCATAACAAGAGACTGGTATGTTCTTTGAAGGATATTTGTTACATAATACAAAAATTTCATGTTGAGCTAGCTAGAATGCATATTCCCTGGTCCATGAAAGTGGCTTTTTATCTTAGAACAATTTTATGCCTCTTGAGTAGCTGTGGTCTCAAATGCCATGTAATCTGTTTGCTGTGTGGCTACTGAAGTCATGGGAATGGAATATTATTATTTCACTGCACTGTTGCTTTAAAAGTGCAAATGAATTCTAAGAATGTGCAAGAAGGAGAAACTTCAGGCTCCTGGTGTTGCTGGTAAAAACACCAGCTACTGTGGCAATGCTGACTCCTTAATTATATAGTGCTCTTGATGGCACTGCTTTGCTAAATCAGTGGTGACCTAAAGCTTTAAACTATGAATGCAGTGTAAAATTGGGGTAGGGAGAAGATCCTTAGTAAAGGACCCTATTTCTTTAGCAATTATTAACAAAGCTTTGCCTGCAGCAATATCTATTGGAAGCTTGGTGGTCTTACAGCTACTGTTCTCCATTTAGCAAGAATTTAAGCAACGGATCTGCCGACAGAAATGGGCTCAGAATAAAGTGAGAGAGAAACGCCAGCAAATTGCTCGAGCCAGGAAATATTATGAAGATTACCGGGTTCAGTTGCGTGCCAAGATGATGCGGGCTAGGACACGGGAAGAAAGGGTAAGTACAAGATGTCTTGCTCTGCAAGTGTGGAATTCTTTTTTTTTTTGTTTGGACCCTGGTGCTGAGGACCCATAGTCTGGTAGTTCAAATAATGGTACAAGTAGACAGAGAGCAAGTGAAGTGAACAGAGCATAGGAGCCAGGATGAAATGGTGGGTCAGTCAAGGCCACAGATGAAAAGGTTCCTTCTTTGGAAACACTGATACAGTTCAGGGCAAACCACTGTAAAACAAGAAAGGATGCTTTATGGGGTTAAGAGAAGGAGAGAAAAGGTGAAGTATCAGTTTGGAAAAACAGGGCTGGTAACATGAGGAATTGGGGAAATGAGTTTTCAGAAATGGTAGGATTAAGAAGTTGTTCCTATAGTCACTATCCAAAGAAAACAATCTAAATCTTCAGTTAAGGAAACTGATCAAAATGACAGCTTTGTTATTCAGTTATGTTTGTTAACCAAAGGGGACTTTTTGACATCTATGATCTCTAATTAGGGCTGGACATAAGAGCTAAGGAAAGCAAGTAGAGTTATTACACAATTCTCAAAGTGTTACCTACTCTTGTACCTTTTAAAATAACAGACTAGAAGTTTAGTGTGTAATCCACTATTAGTGATTTGAGAACTGTTTGCCTCAAGCGGCACAGCACCGTAGCTGGTAAGTGTTCTCCTGTATAAATGGAAAGCCGGAGTACAGGCTGGACTTCCTGCTGTTGGAAATCTGGATGAAGGTCCTGAAGCCAGATGACTGAATGCAGGGTGGGCTGTAAATCACAGTGCATGTTCAAAGACCCTGGCTTGAATTGTTGGTTTGTCTGAAGTGATTTTAAAAATGTAATGTACATTTGCTGCTCTAGCCCCTTTCTTAGTCACGGGACTAAACTGACATGAAAAATTTGTTTTATCTATTGGAACTTCAGCTAAATGAGTAATACATATACAGCTCAGCTGCATCTGTACCACTGCTACTACATACATAACTGTACTTTTTCATGGGCAATGACCTATCTTCACGTGATCACCCTTCTATCAGTAGATAAAGCAGCTGAAAAATGTAAATGTATACTTAAAAGTCTGTGGGAAAGCTTTAGGTTTGCTTTTTTTTTAATTGCTGGCAGATATTTAAAAACTTATTTGAAGAAGGCTTAGAAATTCAGAAGCAAAGACTGAAGGACCTGAGAGCATATGCTCAAGAGAAGCGTGCTGAGCAAAGGAGAGAGCATCAAAATGAGTTGGAGTCCATGGAGAACTATTACAAAGATCAGGTAAAGCTTAATCTGCATCCAAGACAGTTAGTATTTTTTATACTGGAAGTCTTTCTCTAATGGGTTCAACTCAAACATGTGTTATGCTTAGTTTTCCATGCTAGCAGAAACTTTATCTCAAGAACGCCAAGAAATGCAAACCAGAGAAAAAGCACAAGCACAGGTAAGTATTTTTAATTTTGTGTAAATGTCATCTTTTCTTTTTATGTGCTGTGGCTGATGTCTGTATTTCCTTTAGATGCTACAGAAAACAAAAAGAGAATTGAGATCAAGGATGGAAAAGGAAATACAGCAACTGCAAGCAGCAATCATGCAAAGTGATGATGACACCTTTTTTCAAGAACTAGAAGCAGACAGACTGAAATCTAGACTTCAGATGGCTTCCTTTCACTATAGCAAAAGCCGCTTCTTGTAAGGCTTACGGTAAATATCACTGCAGTTCTCTCTGGCTGGGCTGATGAGAATCTTTGAGAGCTGCTCTAACAGGAAGATGGTGTGTGGCTGTTTTTCTCCAAAATATTTTATATTTTGACATGTTAGAGGTGCAGCTACTGGTATCTGAGATCTCTACAGCACTTTTATGATCAATAAAGTTTTTAAACGACTTTCTACCTTTTTAGCAAGGCTGAGATAACATTGAGCTCGACACAAAGGAAGTGGGATGAAGTCAGCGTGCTTTAAAGCAGTTACCTTAGTGCAACAGTTGAAGCTAAGCCTCCTCCATGCCTCTGCTGATTCTTATTGCCGGAGTTACACTAACACCACTAGCCAGAAATTACTGGAGTGGAAAGCTCACAAAGGACAAGTAGATCTTTAAAAGAACATCAGTGGTTCAAGTTTCCTTTGGAGGGACAAGTTAGAGAGTACCTGCAATAAACCTGACAGCAAAATCAGTAGTTTTAATGTACTAAGCAAGGGAGGGCTTCTCATTCTACACAATACTACGTTTACAATTTTGGTGCTGCTGGCTTGTTAATGGCAAAGCATATAAAGTACTACTTCATATGCTACAAGTGTATTGGAAAAAGTAGTTTGAAATAGAAAACAATGAAAATTTTTCTAAAGCAGTAAAATATAAGCTTCTGCAAGAACTGAAACAGGGGAGGGACCTGTGGACAGCATTCCTTATTATTTTCAACAGGGGTACACTAATAGGTGTATGCACTGTAGGTGTTTCTGTATTTCAAGTGCTGGATTTCACATAGGGTTTTCAACACTATGTAAGCCCACATGTAAATAAGCAAAGTTTTGTTTCAATTGATCTATTTCAAAAGGGAGTAACAGTAATGCTATATACAGAGACACAAGCAATAACAACTTCAGTTTACCATGTTTGCTCTTAGCAGCAGATTATTTGGAGAGAAGTTTTGCAAGGGTACTTGTATTTAGTACCCTGTTTAGTTTTTTTCTTTTTTTTTTTTTTTTAGGGAGAAGCAGATTAGTTCTAGTTCTGTCAGTGTGAAAACAGGGTAAACAGTGATTAAAAATTCCAGCATTCAGCTTTTACCTTACTTCAGGTTGTAAGGTCTGCTTCTAGGCAGAGTAGGAGCTGATGATCGGCACTACACCTTATCTTTGTAGAACCATCATGTGCTATAAACTTTACATTTAGTTTAAAATTCAAGTTTTGCCAGCCATGTATTGTGGGCCCTATGAGATGCAAACAGAGGGATGCATACTTAAACTGAGAACAAATTACATAAAACCAAGCTGATAATTAGTGAAGCCCATTAGTGATATATTCTCCTCTGCTTGACAAAATTGCAATTTTTTAAATAGTTTATCTTGGTAATGAGGATGAACTAAAGTGTAATTTTAAACAGGTTCTAGTAGAAGAGTTCTTGCTTAAAATTGCACGTGTGAGAAATCATATAAAAATACTGGAATTGATCACATTGTATATGCAGTATTAAAGCGTGCCATGAGATGGGGTCTCTTATGGAATTGACAATTCACGAAGTATGTTAAGACTCATGCATTAGGAATAAAAAAAAAAAAAAGCAAGCTAAGCAAAAAAAAAAAGCCCCCAGTGGCTGGAGATGCTTCATTTACAGATTAAACAAAACAGCTGGCAGTTAGAGCATGATATACCTCACTTAAACCAAAACCAAACCCCCAAAGCACACAACAAAAAACCTCCACAAAACCAGAAACCCACACCCTGACTTCAACAACCATTTCCAGGGAGCTGCTACAAGCCAGGCTAGTTTGAAGTCTTTATCTAAGGGACAATATTTACCAGCCAAGTTGATCAAATTTAACAAGTATTTACCAAATTTATTACCTTTTTCCTTCCCTTAAGGAAGATGGTTTAGCTTTGCTGAATTTTGAGGAGACATTCATTCACCAGTGCTGAGATAAAACCCTTGCCAAGACCCATGTGCACCATTACACAAAGGCCCAAAGTAAGACCTTTTTCGTTTGACTAGAACATTTAGCGCAATCCTTATTTTAAGGAAGACAGCAAGTTTTAAGTATTTTCTCCTGAAACAAAGTTGAGTTACTTAAAAATGATATTGTTACATTTTGAAGTAAATATTTAATTAAGAAAAACTTAAAACTTTTAAAACCATTGATGCTGTGACAGTGCAAACAGCATACAATTTATTGCTCAACTTCTGCATGGGTACATACATTAAGTACTTAAAAACCATTTTATACAGATTTTTTTTTTTGTTAAAGCTCATGTAACAGCTGGGTGAAAATACAATGATATCAATGCTAAAACACTCTGTAATAAATACAATGGAAATGATAAACTAAGAACTGTCAGTTTGTGGAGGAGTAATTACACTTGTATAAACTAATTACAACTACAGACAAAGCTCTGAGGATGTGGTAGAGCCAGAAGCCTACTACATAGTGTAAAGTACAACAAATGGCACCTGTTAACTATATGGTGCTGTTTAAAATCTGAAGCAATTGGAGCATGCTACATTAAGCTGTATGATGCATACTTATGATATAGAAGCAAAGCTTTTACTTCCATCAATGCAGCCAGTTTAAACGCACCAGAAGTTCAATACAGATGTAGTGTTGTAGAACAAGAGTTTAAAAACAGCTTGTGTGCTCTGGACTTTAGTACAACACAAAAATTTGGTACAAATAAATCAGTTTAGGGAAACTGAAACTATGTGCAAAAAAAAAAAATTAGAATACATACTGTACAAAGCACCATTACAAAACTCTTTACACCGAGAAATTAAATCCTCTGAAACTCAACTGTGTACTGTATATTTGAAATCTACAAAAGTCACTGTTCATAATTAAACATTCATAATGAAAAGCAACAGCATAAAACCATGATGTGACATCTCTCTAAAACAACTAAAGACTGGATAAAGTAAAACCCAGTAAGAGGGACACATTGAAATAAATATTCACATTAATCATGGGGTGAAAGTCCAAGGTTAAAATGCAATATTAGGCTTAGCACCTTTTTGAGGGGAAAGTAGCTGACATGATCTTGAAACAAAATTTTGCAAAGGCATCAACCCTTTAGCACTTTCAGATAAACATCTGACTAGGTGATGAGGTGCTTTAGTTAAAGCTCTCAGTCATTGTGAAGGTAGAAAGGCACTCAAAATACTTGGTATATTCATCCTCATCTGTCAGCTATGTAAGTCAAATGTAGATTTGTCTAGTTTTGCCTGTAATATATTAAATTTACAATATTTATCTGTGGCAGTTAAAAAAAATTCTCTATGCCATACCAAAATGTTTGGTAGAACAAACAGATGTACTGCTAAGGCTGCTGTGAAAATGTATTATCAGCTGATCTAGAGTCTATATTCTGCAGAGCTCATCTCCCTCCTCAAAAAATGTTTTTATGACATAATGGTGGCCGTAACTATGTGCTCAATAAATTTAGCAGCCTAAGTAGGCTGACAGGGAGAAGGTTCCTGGGAGGTGGGTATAGATGATGTGGTCAGGAGACGCTACAGAGACAGTCTTTAAATAGCGCTGAGGTGAGCTGTCTGGTGCAAAGGGAACAGCAGCATACCTTCCCCCTTGAATCACCTAACAGAGTCCTGACTTCTCCCAAAAAGCTGGATCAAACTGGATTTAACATTTTTTGTGTTTCATGACCAGGGAGGCTGCAGCCATAGCCCGAGCAAGAGCCAGCGGGGGGAGGAAAAGAAAAAGGAAAAGAAAAAAAAAGAAAATAACTTGCACAACACTGGAGTGTCTATCCTGTGAACAGTGGTCAAAAGAACCTGTCTCTGTAAAGTCTCTGTAAATAGTAATTCACATCATACTTCAAAACTTGCAGGGGTGAGGAGAGGTCTTTGGGAGTGTCTAAAGCAGTGGTCCCAACCACAGGCAGCAGTACTGAGCAACAAACACGCTGGGCAACAACCTACTTTGCTCTCCCAGGCAACCTGGACAGATGTAGTGGTAGCTTCTCTGGTAACAGCATTACCTGAAAGCCGTGAATTAGGGATCCCAACTGGAGATGCAAAGGTACCAGCCATTTTACATAAGTGCAATAGTCCCTTGAAATGAAGAAAAAGAAAAGGGTCTGATATATTTCAAACCTGGCTGTCAGAGCAAATTTCTTGGCTTTATGTTTACATCCCTAAGTAGCCTCATCTCTGCAGCCAGCCCAGAATGGAAAGCAAGTCTCTTAGAACAAACCTTCCAGCAA